CTAAGGTCGATATGGATATACCGACACATACCTATATAATATATATATCTATATATATATATCTATCCCCCTCCCCTCCTCCCCACGGACAAGTACGCCGAAGAAGAGCCATCTACCTAGCTACCGCTACCGCTATCTCTCTCTCTATCTCAGTACTCTTCCCTCTTCCACCAATGTACCTACCACCCACCGCTTACTAGCCTAACCTAACCTAACCAAGCCCAGCCCAGCCCAGCCCAGCCTAAGCGGGAGATCCTCCGTCCGAGTGGGTATCTAGGCAGGCTCTCTAGGCTAGCGGTAGGTGGAGGGGAGTGTTTGGTTAGAAGTAAGTTCGTAAAGAAGTGAGTAGGTAGGTAGGTGAGTAAGTGAGTAAGTGAGTAAGTGAGTAAGTGAGTAAGTGAGTAGATGAGCAAGTAGATAAGTAGGTAAGTAAAGTAAAATAGCTGGAACTCATTTACACGCTGGCACGCTGGCACGACGGCACGGCACGGCACGGCACGGGAACGAGCGTACATACATACTTCGTACATATATACATATATACATATGTCTACCTGCATGCATGCACTCCTCTCCTCTCCCCGTCGTGCCTGTGCCTGTGCCTGTGCCTGTGCCTTTACTCCGTACGGAGAAAGCTGGTGGCTGGTAGTCCCGTGCTCATGCATAATATCACGAGCTTGAAAATGAAAAGCAGCAAGCCAGTCGGAGGCGGAAGGGAGTAAGTCAGTAAGTACGCCACCACTCTAAGCTAAACAAAACTAAACCAAGCTAAACCAAGCTAAACCAAGCTAGAATAAACTAAACTATAGCTTCCGCCGCTGTCGTACCTAGTACTCCGTAGTGCTACTACTACTACTACTACCACCGAGCTGAGCCCAGTGCTCGGGGTGCTGGGTAGGACACGACACGGCAAGTAAGCTAATTACGGAGTTGTATCTATGGTGATCTGACGGACTTAAATAAACATGCGCGTGTGGCTCTCGCGGTGGGCTTGCTTGGGGTCTTGAGGACTAGCTAGCTCCGCTATCTAAGACCTGGAGGGACCCCGGAGGGAGGCATTGCATTACCAGAACGAGGTACTGGCAGCGAGCGGGCTTTGAGACAGATTACCGGCCGTCGGGTCGTAGTCTAAAGTCGATATGGAACGCGGAACGGCGTCGTAAGAAGAAAATTCCAAGGGTAACGAATACAGAGGGGTGGGGGGTAGGGGGCTGGGCCTGGGTCCTGGTCAGTGCGACCACGACTGTGTACTCGCTACGGCTCTACCATATGTAGCATTTCGGTCGACGATCATCTGTGGCTGGCTGGCCAGTCAATCGCGCAGATCTCTATTGACCCTTCGAGTCTGTCGATTCTTCGGTCGTCTGACAAACGAAAGCAGCGGTTCAGGGCGGATGGAAGATGATCGAGAGGGGGATCAGTAGGGAGATCTTGCAAGCCGCATGGACGTTATCGGCGGCTTGTGAAGCCGTGACGGTCTAGAAGTGCGAGAAATCCTTACAAAGCGGGATCTCCTGCAGATTCAAAATGGGAGGGACATTCATTCTTCACTCCTTGGCGCGTTTTATGTGTTAGTTGTGAGAGCCAATTCGTTTGCCGAAGAGCGACTTATCAAAATGCTTGGCGGGGGACTGGCTACTGGCCATGGACATAGTGAATAGTAGAGTCAACAGAGTCAATGCTCGAGTGCCAGAGGAAATGTAAAGTGAAAAGAGGACCGGGGATGTAGTATTGCGTTATATTCCTGGGGCTTCCCCTAAAACTGCTCTGCTCCTAGCCCTGGCGCCACAAGGGCCTTCCTTTCCTTTGCCTGCTGCCGATCGACTCGAGGGAGAAGGAAAATTCGTGTACTTCGTAACGCCGTGAAGTTCCGTCTCATGAGAAATGTGACGAAAAGAAAGTGTATGTCGCTCTTGGGGAGCTCGAAAAGAACGGAACTGAAGCAAGCCTGCCAAAGTATGTTCGAGAAAGGGGCGGTGTACAGAACGGCCTCAAAAGCCAGAGAGCCTTGCAAAATCGGGCATCCCAGCGTGGGAACGCTGTGTCACCTGCCCAATGCAAATCCTCTAGTAGTTGTGTCCCGCAGAGGGAACTGGTATCTTAAAAAAGCAACATGACGCCGATCGATCGTCTCGACCACACTAGGCAAATACAACCTGCGATACGAAACAAATACATGCCCAGATACAGGGCTTTGGGTATAAGTCAAGAGGTGTAATAAAAAAAATAAAAAAATAAAAAATTTCGAAGAACTTGAGGCATTAAAACATTAAGCGAAGTTCGTATCCTTCGGTGTGGGTAACGTGTTGGGTTCCGCTTGCATTGTCGCCGTCAACTTGGACGTCGAGTGACATCTCCCATTCTCGTTTGACTGGATTCTGGACCTCTGAAATCTCCATTATGACATCCTGGCCTTCCACAAGCTCGCGGATCACGTCGTCGTCGACCTCCACCTGCAACCCGCGGTCAAGAATATGGAGCGTCCGTAGTATTTTGGTGGGCTCGATATTCCACTTCGTAGCGATGCCGTTGGTGAAGTCCTTCAGGGTCCGCTGCATCAAGTAGACAGCTCGGAAGTATTCGTGCTTCTCTGGTTGATGGGGATCGCGGCGGGCGACATAAAAACATGCGATTGGTTTTATCGCTCTCTCGACAGGTGGCTCGTACGACGAATCGACTCCCAGCGCTTCGATCCAACCGCTCAGATTACTACTACCATCCGCTTTGGGAATCTTGGTGATTTGGTCTGGAGGGCTCGCCAGCTGCTGGGGATTCGAAGATTGCACATCTGCTGTCGCGACTGATTGGAAGTCGTTCCGAATTCCAGGTGCCCCAGTTGCCGAAGTGACTGCCATTTCTTGGGAATGCAGTGAAAGAGAGCTTGGAGACGGCGATACAAGCGAGGACGTTCCTGTCGTCGAGCTCCCGTCGCCCCTTCTCTGTTGCCAGATAGCGCTGCCCCGCGAATCCACCTTTGTAAGATCCAGTGGCTCCCCGGCCAGGGCCACTGGGTGGAGATCCGGATCGTCCTGTTCCGATCCTCGAAGGTACAATATGCTGACAGGCCTGGTGCTTGTAAACATATCCTGCATGTTTTGCAACTTGAAATGCAGGTCTTCCTCGATAGGCATGCGGCCTCCAGCAGACGAAGCCGATGACATGGACCAGGTCCTCTTGTGCTTCTGCACCTTCCCAGGCCGTTGACTTGGCTGCGGCTTGGCAGTCGTCGAACCAGTTCGTTTTCTCTTGCCAAAGTCTTTCATGCCCGTCTCAGCTTGCGCTATCTGTTGCTTGAGCTTGTCAATCGTCTTCTTGATGTGTGCCACATCGTTGGAAAGCTTGCGTTCCGCGCCGTGGTCCCGGAAAAGCTTCACCTTGCAGAAGGCCACCTCCGAGTGTTCAGGGCCGGAACGAGGTGATCCAGTTGGAACGGTCTCGGTCTTTGCACAGAGGCGAACGGGTATACCCTTTACTCCCTTGGAGTGGCTGAAATCGGTAGAAAGGAAGTTGAAACGAACGGCGATGTTGCATTCCGTTGTGCCGTTGACGCCTGGGGTCCAGAAGACCGAGAATCCATCGAAGGAGGCGGTATCGAGTTCAACACGAGTCCTCTTGTCATCAATCTCGGCGACCTGATTGGCTTCCACGTACTCAACTGCTTGGAGCTTGCCTCCACGTTGATGAGCCTCGTTCGTTCCTCGCCCTTCTTTCCACAGTTGCCAGCAGTTCGACGGTTTCTGTCGTTGCTGCTCGTCCTCGAACGAAACTCTGACGAAGGTCCGGTACCTGGCTCCGAGAGGCAGTGGAACATTTGGAGCCGTGTCTACAATCGATATCGAATAAGCTTGACCCTTATTGAGATATGTTACTGGTATCTCATCTGCATGCTTGATCATTGCCGTCGGGGCATTGAGGGTCACATGGAAGCGGAATTTTTCGGCAGATGCAGGCACTGCAGTTGCCATGTGGTATTGGGACTGGTAGCTCATGATTGGAGATTGGCGCAGAGCTCCTTCCATGGGCACCATGCGCCCCTCGTCGTCGTCCAAAGGGGAACCGTCATGGTCCATGGTTTCGTAGCCAGTGTCCTGGTGAATGAATGAAGATGGCGCAAACGATTGCTGCTCGGGCTGGTGTTGTTGCTGCATATTTTGCTGCTGAGAGGTACCAAAGGGGTTGTAGTTGTGAAATTGGTGTGGCATTTGATGGCCAAACGCAGACATTTCCATCATCGGGTTGGTGGCGAGCCCATCAGCGGAAGTGGGCAGGGACAATGGTGTTCCAAGACCCATACCCATTCCCATGCCGGGCGTATGCAAATCTCCAGCTTGGTTATGGTACAGGGTGTTCGTGCCTCCCGGAGTTGGAGTGTAGTAGCCAGGCGGTTGGTTAGCGAAGGCCGAAAAGGCAAAAGAGTTCGGGTCGAGCAGAGAGGGAGTGAAACGCCATGGCTCATGTTGCGCTCTCGGTGTAGGGTCGAGATCCTTCATATCCTCGTGTCCCAGACTCATGTGTCTAGACGTTCAGGACATTGCCGCACGTCAGCAAAGTTCGGACTTCGGTGGTTTGGGGAAGCCAAGAGCCAAGCCATGCTTCCATTCAGAAGCCTCTCCCTCAGGAACTCTAAATGTGGAGGGCAAACAGGCTCGTCAGCGAGGAAATTGTGCTTACCGAGTTTCGTGGGGGGGCGCTGCAGTTGCATGGCGGAGTGAGGAGGCATTTCCCGAGCCCGAGCCCGAGCCAGCAGACGAGGTCGCAATCGCAACCTCAGGGAAGCTTTGCCTGAAATTCGCAATGAAAGCATCGCCGGGCTTTTGAGACGAAGTTCTGTTGGTCACCCAAAAATCAGCTCTTGAACCGAGCCAAAACACCAAGGACGCGCAAGAGGGGCGGGGGATTATTTAGTTTGGTTTGCTTGCTTGCGCGCCGACGCGAGGGCCAATTCTGAGCCGAGCCGAGCTGAGCTGAGCTGAGCTGAGCTGGGCTGGGCAGTTCCTGGGCAGTTCCTGGGACGAGTAACTTACCGATTTCGAAACATCGAGAGATGAGATGGAGGAGTTGACACAGCTCCTCGTCTATCGTAAAATCTGGCAGTTGGAGGAGGAGACGCGTTCCTTCTCCCAAGAATGCGAGGAGGAGGTAGAAAAGAGCGCCGCGTGAGCTATTTTCTTTGTCGCATTCAAGCTCGGGTACTCTGGCTGAGGATTCGTCACGTTGGTAGTAGGAGTCGCGAGTGTGATGGGCTGGCCGTCGGGACTGTACTTTACTGTGCTGTGCAGTATTGTACTTTGTTCGTTTGATATGTCGTTGTTTTCTTTCTTTCTTTCTTTCTTTCTTTCCTTTTTTCTATCTGAAATGAAAGTCGCAGCGGAGGAGGCTTGTTATTATATGAGACGAGGGTGAGGGCGAGGGCGGTAACGGGAATGACAGATCTTTCCACTATGGGCTTCGGGAGACCAGGACATGGGGATCCATTGAAAAATATGGAAGTTTGGGCAGGAGTCGCAGGGGACGGGGATAGGGGGGCGGGCAGCTGGGTGGTGGTGACGGTGATGGTAATGGGTAATGGGTAATAGGTGATGGGTAATGGTATGAGATCGAGGTAGGGGAAGGGGTATCGGATCCACCCACGTTCGGCGCAACGATGCACGGCTGCTTGCGGTGCTGTTCTGTCCGTAGAGTGCCCGACGGTGTATGCAAACCGGGTGGTGGGGGGGGGGGGGAGGCGAGATGGAGATGGGATGCGTGTCAGGGCCGGGCCACAGATGACGGAAAAACTGGAGATATGGTGGTGATGGTACTGGTGGTGCTGGTGGTGTTGTAGGGAGTCAGGGCGTAAGTGGTCCGTCAACCAGGAGGAAGGGTTGATATTGACAGGATCCGATGGGAATGGATGAGAATGAATGGATAGGAATGGATGAAGGGGAAGGGGATCGGCTAAGTCAGGTAGCGCGAGCTTAGCGAGGAGATGGAATCAAAAGCAGCGGGTGGGTCCCCTTTTTCGGTGGGGGCATGCATCGCATTGCATTGCTTAGTACCACTAGCGTTCGGCCCAAGACGGGAGACGGCCCACTTCAGCACACAGCCACAGCCCTAGCTATAGCTACAGCCACAGCCGCCACAGCCGCCACATCCACCCACAGCCACCACAGCCACCACAGCCACAACCGGGACCATGATGGAAAGATTGTCGTCTTCGTACATAACGCTGTGGCGAGAGGAAAGTGTATCTGTACTTTGTACAACCTCCGAAACCTCAGGAACCTCAGGAACCTCAGAAACCCCTCGACTCGGACTGCCTGCACTCGATGTGTCGCCCGTAATGCCGACCGTTGTTTGGGTTTTGCCTTCCTTACCTTACCTTACCTTACCTACTGTACCATCATTCGTCTCGTGTAACCTAGACGCCGTCCTCTTCCCTCCAATCTCCCTTAGAGCCGAGATATGGTCTCAGAGACCCGCGGGATTGGTGTTTAGAGTACATGCATCGGCACGCAAAGCGAGATTACTGGCACTTCAGCTGTTGACCTTCTCTTTCTGCCTCTGTTTCTGTTTCTGTTTCTGTTCCTGTTCCCGTCCGTTCTCCAAGCTCAGCTCTCAGCTCTCAGCTCTCAGCTCTACAAAACAAGCTCTCCACTCCAGGCTCTCTCCCAGCTCTCCCAGCTCTCCCAGCTCTCCCAGCTCTCCAAGCAATCCCGGCAATGCTATCTACCTACGACGACTGGTCTAAGCGCTTTTCGCGGCCGGGAAATATGCCTAATATACAATAAAAAACGAGCGACCCAATCAACCAACCAACCAGCCAGCCAGCCAGGCAACCAACCACCCCCACCCAGTACGGTCTTCTCGCCAAAAAGCCATCAATCTACCGCAGATATCCCCTTGCAAGGCCGAAACGTGTGCGGATGCCTTAGGTAAGTAAGCTCTGTGCTTCACAAGACAGAGAGGCGCCTCCCCTACCTACCTACCTCCCTACCTACCTCGGTATCTACTTCTTACTTGTATCACTCACTGTAGCTTTGCTGTCGAGCTCAGACAAGATCTTCCGAGTTTCGACACGTCGGGAAGCTCAGCCACAGCGCCACAACGCCACAGCAGATCCAGACTCGAATACATAAGCCTCGGAAGGCCACGCGGCAACCATCACGGATATGCAAGCGAGTCCGTAGATAAACATGCAAAGCTTAAGCGCCGCTCTAACAACGACAGGGTCCTGAGGGCAGAGGGGAAAGGTAGGTATCACAACAATCTTTGCGTACCGGTGGCTGATAGCGGAGATCATCAGCCGAAGTCGCTTTCCTCTGGATGGGAGTTATTGGCATGTCGATTTCGGTCAAGACCCCAATCTCAATCACGAACCAACTCACGAACCAAACATTGCCACCTCGGAGGGAAATATACGTGGCTTGACTGTTGTGGCTTGAGCTTTCATGGCTTGAGCTTTCGTGGCGGTGCAACGGTCTCAGGTCTCCGTCTCGCCCCGTCTTCCCGCCCATGCTTTTTTGACTTTACGGCTAGCCGGACGACTTACCGGTGAAAGTCAAAACCCGAATCGCGACGTCTTGCAATATTGTACTTCTGACTTCACAAGAACGACACATCCGGTATGGCATTTCCGATCTGGCCTATTCCGAGTCCGAAGCTTCCCCTCCTACTTCTGCTGGCCTGCTTTTTCTCTACTTTTTATACCTTTTGTCGGAGTACAGACGAGGGAAGTAACTCGACTTGGAGCTCTTATGCCCAGCCAGCCCAAATTACTCTCGGGTATACTAGGGATCGAAAGACCCCTTTTCGTCACCTCCCCTCCCTACTGCACTGTTGAGTAATTCTGTCCATTCATTTATCCCCATCTTCTTTTGTTTATTCTTCCAGTCAACTAACTGATCACATTATCTCCAAGCGTCACGGCTGCCGCTCCAAGCTTACTCGTGTGCTGCTTAGCATAGCGGTACTTCAAGAAAAAGGGTCTGGTCACGTCATCCGTGCAGAAGTAGGTTAGATTATCTCTACCACCGGCTCGGCACGGCTCCGCTGCCGGCTGCCATCATGGAGATTATACTTCGTCTTCTACCTAGTACTGTACGGAGTATTATTGCTTGATAGTATGTAGTAACTTACAGCCCAGCAGCTACCCATGTCCGGAGTCAATTGCATTCGCCACATCGAAAAGGGTGTGGGGTAAAGGTTTGCAGGGAGTAGGCTGTCCGGTATATGTTGCCATAACTGGGATTTGTTTCCATACTCCGTTCAGCCTGAATTGACGGACGGCCACGATTGAGGCTCAGTGAGGAGCGGGAAGCTTGCGGAAAGAAAAAGAAACAAAAAGTGACTTGCTAACTGAGACAGACGAATTTTGCATTATTTCGTACTTACATCATTAGTATACTCCGTACTCCGTACACAAACGAGACAGTAAGTACGGAGTAAAGCAATTACACGTGAAGTTGCAGTAAGCAAGCATTTTTTATCATAGTCGGCGAAAACCCCTCACTCGCCGAGATCTGCAAAAATAAAACTCAATTGACATTCCCGGCGACGGCCCTGACTCACTTTTGACCGAGAGCGGGAAAGAAAAAGAAAAAAAGAAAACAAAGGGAGGGAGGCGGGTCTGCGGGCGAGTAGATCGGACGTCACCTGTTACTTATCTGTTCCTCATTAATTAAGACTCTTCGATGGATGTGCGCAGCAATCCTTCGATCCGATGTTTCGATGTGCGCAGTGCGCAGTGCGCACGAAGGGTCCAGCGGACAAGCAACAAGAGACTGCCCAGCCCTGGGCTGTCCGTACCGGGCGCATCGAAGGATTGCATTGCCGGCGGAGGAGGGGTCGGGTCGGGTCGGGTCGGGTTGAGTCGGGTCGAGCGAGAGCGAGTACGAGTGAGTGCGAGTGCGAGTCTTGAGTCATAAGAAACTCGATTACTGGTCGATGGTGCCATTGGTGTGAGTAATAAGTAAGTGGGTGAGTGATAAGTTAAGTCCGATCTCTCTCGCGCGCGCTGAGAAGAGAAGAGAAGAGAAAGAAGTGGCGATCTGGATCCCATCTATTTATATTCTACTATCGGGGTTCCTCCAACGGTCAATCCGATTGACGATCTCTTTTGCAGACAGGCCGGCCGTCCTTGAGAGGTTCCTTCGTCATCGTCGGTTAGTTACCTCGAATAATGATTCGGGAGAAGTTTTTACCGACCTGGCGCACCATCACGGCGGGACGGTGCGGTTAGAAGAGGTATTGAATTACAAGTATTGATATAGATAATAAATTAAAGAATTGGTGTATACATGCTCGGAAAACAGTACTGTATAAACGTGAATCTTTGTAGGTATGAAGATGCATTTATTTATTCCGAGTCGATACGTTAAGAAAAGTAGTGGAAATATAGCTCGGAATTGTCTTGAACAAGGGAATTTTTACTTGTCCGCCTCGGATATGTTGGCAAAAACATCCTTGATTTAAAAAAAGTCTTAAAAGAAAAAGAAAAAGAAAAAAAATCATGCATCGAAAAGAAATGATCGAGTGTATGACATCGCAAACGGTCTTAATCAATAAAGAAAAGTTGATGCTGGTGCGAATATACCCTTGATGGGTGTTCGTAAAAATACTGCTTTTCGAATTCCGCGCCTTCTCTAGTATTCACACGGGAATCCTAACATGTACGCATACCTACCTCGTACAAGAGTATCAGGATCAGCTCTTGTCGGTAATCCATAGCAGGTAGCCTCTTCTCCCAGGAACAACCTCATCCATTGTACACTAGAGCTCATCCATAGTTCGCGTAAATGTTCAAATCTAAACTTCAACTTTTTGTTATTATTATCGATACCCTTATATGCAGCGCATATTTCAATTATTACAACTAATAAATCTATTCAATAGATTCCTCTAAGGTAATAATCAAATGCATAATACGATTGCTATCTGGAAAACTAGTAGTTTACGTGAGCTGTTCATTCACCTCTGAATTGTGTTCCTGATACAATTAATTCCAAGCGATACGTGATCAAGCCTCAACTTCCTCTGTTAATACTCATATAGCTTCTCTTCTGTTTTCTTTCTACATTTTCAGCTATAACGACCACAATAACCACAACAGCCACAACCTGCTCCAACAACAAAAAACAGTTGAAACGCGAGGGTGGTACGCTTGTAGTAAAACACGGGGGTCGTTCTGAATCAAGGTGGAGATGTACGCGAAAACAAGGTATGGGATGAGCTCTAGTGAACAATTGATGAGCTACCCACCCTTCTGTACTGTACGCTCCCTCGCCCCTGGATTGACCTCGGACGCGAATATCAAGCTGCTTGCTGATCTATCGTCGCTTCCTGCTTCTTCATCACCTGCATCGGTTATCAATCTATGATGAAAGCTGTTGGGAGAGAGAGAGAGAGAGAGCCTAGGCGCTTAGCTTTCCGAGCTCGAGCTCGAGGAAAGTGTCGTTTTTGTTGACTCTTTCTCGCTTGTTGATTAGCGGCGCACGGACGTGTTAGTCATGACGAGATGTGATCAGAAAGAAGGAGTACCATTTGTATTTTAATACTTTTTTTTCACTCAGCACAAGAATAGGAGAGAAGAGCGGTAGATGAAGTGGAATTGTGTGAAGCTGGTTGGGATTAGGATTTATAGGCCGCATGCATCCTTCGTGTTATAGAAATCCTTTGTGTTATAGAAATGATAGCGATACGGTGAGTGGTTTGATTTTTCTGGCGAGCTTGGGAAGGCACAAGGAGCTGCTCCAGCCTTGGTGGTTCGGACTTGCTATGGCAGGTCGGCTGATTTCTTTGGGTGGGATCTATGGTGACCGATGATGGTTCGTGGAAAGGAGGAGAGAAGAAAGACAAAAGGAAAAGGAAAAAAGAAGGTCTTTCTTTACACTATAATCGTACGAGCTTCGATTTGGACCCTGAAGAGATCGGTTATTGATTCTTGAAATGGGCCTTCTTTTAAATTTTTTTAAAAAAATAAACCCATTTTAAATACCATAAAGGCAAGTAGGAGGTCATTTCAATAAGTCCTCCTTTGATCCTCTTCTATAGGACCGCCTCAATCCAGTCCTAAGCTTTAATCAGGGCCAGCTTAGGTAGCTCACAGACCGTCTGTCCTATTGAAAGAGACCGCCCCGTGGCGTCTGTCCTTACAGCTGCCCCCGTTCAATTATACAAGACGAGAATATTTTCAAAGCTCGTTTCAATAAATAATTTTTTTTTTAAAAAAAAACGATATTTGAACGGTCTAAGTAGAGGTGCTGTTATGATGTAGAGACCGCTTCTACGAACGATACGGGCTGGATCTTGATTATCAAGCTGATGTTCGTGCCGAGGTATTGCTCGGGATCGCTGCTATAAGTTATGTTGAGGCTTTGAAATATTTGACATCAGAATCGGTCGATTGAGCGAGAGTTCAGCTGGTTACCGCAGAGCTACTCCGGTAAAGGGGGGGGCAGGAAGGAAGGGAATGGGGGAGGTAGGGGAGGGGGGAGGAATGGGGAGCAGAAGAGTATATTCTAACTGATTTGCCTGTTACTATAAGTTCTCGAGAACGGTTTTGGGTTGGGAGATGGCCAGAGGACGGCCACGGGACGGTCCCGAGACGGAGCTCTCCAGAACGACGATCTCGATCGATTGACTCGGATTACACTTGAGTGATAGTTTTGTTTTTCAAATACAGATTAGTTATATGTTTGATTCCAATTCGCGCGTAGGCTCAAGGTGATCTCATGACTATGGTAACCTCTGAGAGAAATATTCTGTGACAAGTTCTACTAGGATTAAACTTCTTGATGAATAGTTTGAAATAGGTCATTAGATTTGATATTTCAACAATATTGAGATTGGTACAAAATGCAGTTAGGATTATACCCCTCTAGAATGGTTGTCTATAAATTGATTAATATCTGAGCAATATAAAGGAAGGAAATGCTCGAGAAACAAAAGAGATCTAATGTACAGGAGAGTACTGATGTACAGTCTAGGAGCCAACCCATCGCGGAGGGTTCATCGTGGGTTTCGCCCCCCCCCCCCTAAACCAGCCATCCCCACACACCTAAGAGCCACGGTTGGCCCACGATTAAGGCATGGTGGTTGGGTCGAGGATACCCCAAGCGGACCAGTTAACATCGATCGACGAAAACTGCTTCATCTGCTCTGCTGACTCAAAGCAGCTGGTCTGCAACTTCAATTCACCATCGTCAACCACGTGGTTGGGGACAACCATTTGCACCTTCTCCTTGTCCTCGACCAATGAGAAGCGCAGCGCGTCATTGGAGTCGTCAATCTTGGCCTCGTGCTTGATGTAGTGCTCGATGGCCCTCTCGTTACCCCACAGGTTCACTTGCACGGTTTTACCACGGAGAGTCTTCTTCTGGTAGGATTGAGGGATGTAGACCTTCTTGGCTTCTATGGTCTTCTCCTCGTCCGCTCGGATGACACAGAACAGACTCCCTTGAGATGGGGCCAACCTGTCAGGCGAGTCCACTATTTAGATTATTAGCTCCGCATGATGGGTAACGATGTATAGAGATCGACTCACCCAGGTAGAGGCCAGGTCCTAGGTAATTGCCGGTTGGAGTTCCCTCCGCCTTTATCTTGTCGTCGTCGTCGACATCATCGGCCTGGTCCTGTAATTCGCGTACTTAGCGTTGGCTTGTGTGAGTATCAAGTGAAACCTACCTTGGTGAGTGCTGCGTAGCCGATCACAATCTTCTTGTTGAAAAGTCCATGGGCTCTGCTGAAGAGAAGGCTCAGGGTGAGCAGGGCCGCGAGGAGGGAGTTCGATGATCGGAACATCTTGTCTGATAATGCGAGCTGACGAGCGGGAGCGAACGTGTTAAATTAGAGACTAAGGAATGGAGATAGCAAAGAAAGACGATGATGAAGCGAATCTGCTGCAGATGCGGGATGCTGATCATGGAGAGGTGCAACAGGGACTATATATCTCTTTTTCAGAACCTCACTTGAAAATCCTACGTCGGCTGTAAACAATCGTGCAGCTAATAATAACCCGCGCACTATCATCCGAACGGGAAATTATGAAGGAGTTAGTGAAGGAATTAGCCTGGTGGGTATATTCTTGGCATAAAAATCAATTACGTACTTTGATCCTTCGGTGACTTGTACCTGCCAAGCGTGCACCGACCAGGCTTATGGCTGTTCTTCTCTTCGTATTTGTCATTTCGTTTTTACTACGTAGTAGTATATAGAAGATATTATTTAAATATAAACTATTCATAGTATTGCAATCTTCCTTTCCGTAATCACCTTTGATCGATGTATAATACCGCATAAGCCCGACAAAGTGACGTGCGGGGGCTGTTGACTCCACAAGATCGACGCACTGCCTCCCGCGGCTTCTAGAACTACGTAGTAATTAGTGAAGATGTACTACTATATCTATTATACTACGTAGCTCCGGCGTCCGTAATTTCGTAGTCTATTTACGGAGGTACACCAGTTACTACGTAGTACGTAGTATAGTATGTAGTATCGTAACTCTCGTCGCCCTACACCCACTTTTTTTAATCTAAATAGCTTCTGTCCAAATGAGGTTCTTCGAGATTCCGAGCCCACAGTCCCCCCCTGAATAAAAGACGGACCCAGTTTAGCCCCATAAATCGTAGAGCGGTGATTTCTGAATGGCTCAAAGTCTTATCAACTCCATTGCACAGACTAAATACTTGCTTAAAGATACTTTTCAAGGCTGAATCCTTATAAGTTGATTGGTTTAGGCCTTGGTAAGAGCCCTTGCAGAATTATACTTTTGTGTTTTATCTATGGGTGGGGGGCTGTAGCGGTCAGGTATTGTCCAAGTGGGTTAGAAATAGTAGTTGTTCTTGTTCTTGTTGTGGTTGTACTACCGGTAAGTACGTAGTACTACGTACCGGTATTTATTACTATCCCCCCGAATAAAAGACGAAAAGTATAATTTTACTAAGGGTTGACCAAGGGGCTGTAACCCTAGCTCTTGGAAAGCAGTTCCTTAAGAATTTTGAAGAATTTATCATTTCTTGGTGTAATTCATGGTAGAATCGATGTCGATCAGCAGCGATTCATGCACAAAGAGAACCTACGAAATACTTGAAAATCAACGTGTTCGTCATTTTGCTACATTTGATAAGCGGTCAGCTATAAGATCAAAATATGCTTTCACCAAGTGGGTCCGTCTTTCAAACCGTGGGGATACGGTACCTAGTAACGTCGGGCGGGTGGCAGGATTTGCCTGCCGCCTTGGCCGGGACCTCCCATAACGTACGGCGACGTGCTAGGTAAAGGAACTATATACTACGTACTACGAAGTACTATTTTAATCGAAAATAGAAACCACCTTAGGAAAAAGCAGCTTTCTTTTAATTAGCCCTGGGTCTCTAATCCCGCGGTGTCGCGAACTATTATTTACAAACCTTTCAAAAGCATTGAAATAACTTGCGTCGAGTTGTCCTTCGGTAAATATCGAATACGTGTGGCCCTACGGGCGGCCTCGATCCGTATAAATATTACAAACATCGTTTTCTTTTACCGTAAAGCTATAAAATCTCGCGTTCGTAGCCCTTGTATGAAACTGGTGTATTTGAAAAGCGCTTTTAACCGTGTTCTCGATCGATCAAACTAAGCTCTTCCTACCGTACTTCTTCCTTTATCGCGAATCCTTTTGGTCTTTTCAATCGGTATGCCCGTCAGGTCTACAGAGAGAGGTACCGGTACAGCGGTGAAGTGTTGTAACCCTTGCTCCTCCACAGCAACTAGTCCAACCTAATTGAGCAATAACCTAACCTTAATACACAGTAAAGTGTTACTCTGTAAGGCTTTTCGAGGTTCTATAAGGTTCCGTGCTTAAGGTCAGGTTATTGCTCAGTTGGATTAGAATAGTGGCTGTGGAGTAGCAAGGTTTACAACACTTCACCGCTGTACCTCTGTACTTGTACCACGGTACAGGTCTAAGTATTACCCCTCGAGGGTGCCTTAAAAGTTTAGTTTCCACTTTAAACCCCCTGTTTTCCCTACCCTCGAGGGGTAATACTTAGGCCTGTACCGTGGTAGATCGTAGTCGGCGTGATGATCGAGATAGAAACAAAGGTCCGGAACCGCCGATAACGAAAAATCTCTTCGAGGAGCCGCGGCATATCGCTGGTTTAATTTCGGCTTCCTAAACTCTCTGCCGCGACAGAGAGGGCTGAAGGTTCGTAGGAGGCGCCTCGTACAGGTAAAGAATCGTAGCCTTCCTATTAGTAAATGCAGACCCAGTGTAGCCTTACAAATCGTAAAGCGGTGGTTTCTGAATGGCTTAAAGCCTGGTCAACTCAATGGCACACATTAAATACTGGCTAAAGGATGCTTTTCAGGGCTGATGAATCCTTATAAGCTGATTGGTGTAAGCCCTGATAAGAGCCCTTGCAATATTATACTTTGCATATGTATTCATGGCGACTGTACTACGTAGTACCGGTAGATGGACCTCGAGATTACGCTGGACTTGAACTTAACATACTACGTATCTTTACTGTATAAACTATGAAGCGTCCCGCCGTTCCACCTGATCATCGTTGATTTCGCTTAATCGGGTGTTTTATAGCCATAAATGAATTCCAGCTGAATGGTAATACTAGAAATATTCTAATTGATCAGTTCTCAACGCAACCATATTAATTCTCATGCAGAGATGATTTTAATCGTGGACAATAACGATTATCCGATCAGTTGGTTGACAAAATAGTCTAACTCTGTTTAAACTCAAGAATATAAACGATTGCGCTCGTCATGCCAGTTACCTTTCTACTTTGACTGCAGCGCGCAAAGTGATCTTTTATTCATAATCTATCGATTTATCGCACTTCTTTCAATATTTTATAAACTTGAAATAATATTACTTATCGTTACAAATATTCTTCTTTCAAATCGATTTGCGATTATACGTCTTTTTTCAGTTACGCCGCCGTATCCTTTAATCCGACGAGCATTTACTATCTGATGATTATTAAAAAATACAAAAATTAAATTACAAATTCAACGAACCAAATAGATTTTTGCATTTTCGCTTCGATCATAAAACTTAAGATAGATATACTTATAATCGCATAATACTACGTAGTTCTCAACAAGTTTGATCATACCAAAAATGCTTTGAAAAGGTCATTTATTTAATAGTCAATTGCTAAGCTGGAATTTCGATTATGAATTTTTTTTTTTTAAATATATCCAAGTCGTTTTTATTTCTGCTTCGTTTTAAAAAATCAAGATAAATATATTCGATATGACGTAATAATTCTGAACAACTTTGGTCGTTCAAAAGAAGCTTCAAGAGCGGTGGTTGATTGATTACTAATTATCAGGTAAAAAATTGAGTTATACTACTAAATGACCCTCTGGCTGAAATTCACTTTTCGCTGTACCTCATCTGATTAAGAGCGGGGGGCTACGATTCTTTTCCTCTAGCTCTCTTTCCTCCGGCAAAATGAGTTTAGAGAGCCGAAATTAAATCAAGGTAGTCTTTTCGAAGAGATTTTCCTTTACCGGCGGCGATTCCGAACGAGTCTTACTTACCTCGACTGCCATGCCATCTACGATCTAAACGTGACGGGCATACCGATTGAAAAGACTCAAAGGAATTGCGATAAAGAGGGAAAGAAGTGAGAAGGAGATAACGAGGTTTAAGACGATCTACCATATTGCACCTTCGGCAACGGCTTAGCTATCTTCAGTCCGGCCTCGGATTATCTCGAACTCATATCGACACCTGTTACGGTCCTGACAGGAGGTTCTACCTGGCTGGGTCGGTTGGTTTAGGATTTGGCTGTATGCTTAGTCATATAATGTCACGGGACATCACGCTCCCGCAAATGCATATGCACAGACCTCGGCCCTGTATTGTAGTTATTCCCTTCTCGTCTTTCTTTTACACTACGTAGCGTACAGATTGGTAGCTACTATAGTGCCACCTTTCCTCAGCCGTAACAATACCGAGATACGTTACTTACGCTAATAGTCGATTACCTTGAATTCAATCTGTAAAAAATCCAGACCTGGTGCAGCTACGTCGGAATTTCCAAGGCGGGACAGAAACGGTACAACACTTATTGAATAACATCTACTAATGTAAACCAATAAAAAATCAATTTGCTCTGAAAAATCGCTTTATAAATGTGAATTATTAATAAAGAAATGTATTGATTTGTTTCTTATTAGTTCATTTAAAAGTAGTGAAAATGTAGCTAAAAACTGTGTTAAATAATGAGATTTTACTTATCCGCTTCGAACTTCTTGGCAATCATAAGTTTAAAAAAAAACGATTTATAGATAGGAATGAAATAATCGAGTTTATGGTACTACAATAGGAACTAACTATTAAATTGAATTGGGTAGTGATAAGAGTGTACCTTTGATGGGTTTTAGTACAAGTCCGATTTCTGTGTTCACATACAGGGGAATTCTGATTGATATGCATAGTAAAACAGTATCAAAAACAGTATCGAAAACAGTTATTATCGTAACCTATCATACCTTCCTTCCTTATTTGACGTACACAAACGCCATCGTTAAGCTGGACGGTGATTAAGCATGGTGGTAGAGGTCTCGATTAGTACTCGATCGATTTTGATGAGGTTGAGGTTTTAGACACGCTAAGCCTCTCAGCGTACGGACCAGTAACGTCGAAAAGTACAATAAAGTACACTAAGAGTACCATTTTTTACTACTTATAAGGACCAGTACGATGCATCTTTTTACACAGAATAATTTCGATATAATAGTCGTTTGATTTTCTGTCGATTAAATAAGAGGGGAATCTACTATCCCGCCTTGGTGGTGCCAGGTCGGTGATTCTTTTCGGATTATTATTTAGGGTAACCGACGATTATAACCTCCTTTCCCGGTCTTTTTTGAATATAAGATTCTATCTTTTCTGCGATCTGTTTTATTTGTAAAGGGAAGGCATAATCGACAGCAGCTGCGCTGCACCAAATTGAAATGCTCTTAAAAGGCTTTTAAAGATTATGCGATACCGAGTGATCAAAGACCCGAGGCTATCAGAAAGAGAGCTTTTCCTTAACGTGGTTTTTGATTTCGATTAGATAGTACTTTATATGTAATTCCTTTACCTAATATGTCGCCGTACCTTGCAAAAGGTCCTAAGGCGGCAGGCGAAGCCTGCCACCCGCCCGACTTTAATAAAATACTACGTACAACAACAACACCTGATTAAGCGAAATCAGTGAAAATCAGGTGGAATAGCGGGCCGCCTTACAATCAATTAGCTATAAAAGCTACGGGAGGCAGTACGTGGATCTTATGGAGTCAACAGCCCCCGCGCACCACTTTGTCGAGTTTATGCGGTATTCGATCAAGGTCCGGCGGAGGATTTGAGAAATAGTTGTTAATATCAACAGATGGATGAGCTGAGCCCTGATAGTCCGACTTGACCCAAGCGAATATGGATCGTCCGTCTATTATTCTATTATTTTTATAAGCTCCCGTACCGCGTTGACCTTCTGAGTCTTGATACTACCATGTCGAGTCTCTGTGTACCGGAGTGGCCGCTTGTCGCTTGTCACTTGGCGAGCGCTCTCTCTGGTGGCGCTTACGTACGCATATGGAACGATAGAGGACAGCACCACGTGGCTCATTGATAGGTCATCCGACATCGAGTTATATCAGTCAGCATGAGATGTAACGTGATCACGATCAAGAATAAGGGAGTAGATCACTCGACCAGAATTATACGGAGATAGATGCTTTTCCTCGGTAGCCATCGACCATTTCCCTCTCCTTATGCCCGATGCCGTATGCATCTTTCGAATTCTCCGTAGAAATATAGGTACCAACCTTATTTCTATTCTTATACTGCATACACACAAGCATCCCTTATCCGCTGCCAAGCGAGCTATCGTCTTATCGCGAACAGCCTCGTCGTCATTTTCCTTGTCCCGTACTGTACTTCCTTACAGTAACAACACCCAAGACCCAAGACCCAACACCCAATACCCAATACCTAACAACCCAAAAACAGGGCGACATTCCTCAACCTACCCACTGCGACTATCTCAGCAAACCGACATAAGCTGTCACCTCTGCCATCTCCATCTGATTAATACTTCTCATATCAATATGGCATCAGTATCATCAGGCTCCCACTACGAGACCCCGCCAGCCTCGACCGCCCCCTCCGAGTTCACGGCGAGCAGTACTCTGGCCACAGCGGAGAAGCCTCCCGACGACTCCTCGAAGCTGAAAATGTTCCTGGGCATCCTCAGAAAGTGAGCGCCCAATTGAGCAGGCAGAGGGAGCTCTCTGCTGGCAGTTTCAACGCAGTTTCAACCGCTCTATCCTCGGGCTTTACACGCCAAATCCACTAAACCGTGTTTCCAAGATGTTGTGAAGGCCTGACTGGCTTTATACCTTCAAATACAGCTTGCTAACATACGTATCGGGTGGTAGATTCATCGGCGTATCAGACATTGCATCAGTGCGGTTTTCCTTACCGGCCCAACTCCTCGAGCCGACCCCCAACTTGGAGTACTGGAACTACCTCGACCAGCCCAACACGTTCGTAGCCATTGGCGACTCGGACGATGCTTTCGACAGGATGCTGGAGGTGTTGCGGTTCTGGTTTACCAAGGACCTGAAGTACGTAAAGGGCAAGCCATGCAAGCCCTACAATTCGACGCTGGGGGAATTCTTCAGGGTATGTCGGAATCGGAATGCTGCTAGATGTTGACACGGGTGCTGATGATCTGGGTAGTGCAATTGGGAGGTCCAGGACAGTATGCCTGCTATCACGGCAAGCAAGATGCAACCGACGCCTGGAAGTGCGGCTTCGTCTATGAGATCGAAAAAGACGCCTGCAGTTTCGAGGAACCCCTCGCTACGTACAGATACAAAGGCTACGGATAAAAGTGGGCAGGTAGTGAAGGTCTCCTTTCTTACGGAACAGACGTCGCATCATCCTCCCGTGTCAGCCTTCTTCGTGGACTGTCCCGAGAAAGGGCTTACAGCACGAGGCTTTGATCAGATCTCAGCAAAGTTTACCGGGACAAGCATACGAGTTACTCCTGGCGAGCACAACCTAGGGATTTTCATCACACTTGCAAAGCGAAATAATGAGGAATACCAGCTTACACACCCAGCTGCCCACCTAGGAGGCCTACTGCGAGGTAGTCTTAGCGTAACAGTCGGTGACCTTTGCTTCGTCACCTGCCCACAAACGAAAATCAAGACCATCTTGCACTACATGGAAGAAGGTTGGCTCGGCAAGACGCAGAACAAAGTCGAGGGAGTAGTATTCCGCTACGACCCCGACAACGACACCAAGAAATCCATAAAGAGCGTGCCCGACAAAGATATTCTGGCCCACATATCAGGCAACTGGAAAGAGAAGCTGTACTTTTCTCTTGGACCGAAAGGCGTAAGTCCTCCTTATTTTTCTTGGTGCTCAGATTAGCCGAGCTTTGTGTTTACATGACATGGGTGTGCAGGGCGACCAAACCCTGCTGATAGACCTCGCCCCCCTCTCCGTAGCGCCTAAGCTCATCCCACCACAAACGGCGCAACTTCCGAACGAATCCTTGCGTTTCTGGTCCGGCGTCACAGAAGCAATCACATCGCGGCAGTATGCGCGCGCCACAGAACTCAAACAGGAGCTCGAGGAAGCGCAGAGAATGAAAGCCAAAGAGCGGGAAGATGCCGGCGCAGTATGGACGCCCAGGTTCTTCGTAGAGGCTACGACGCCTTTAGGAAAACCAGAGCTGACGGAGGAGGGAAAAGAAGCGTTGAGGAGGCTACAGGAGGACCGGTGGGAGCTGAGCGAGGATCCGGTCACTAGTGCGTAAGGTCGGTGTAGTGGGAAGCAGAGAGCGGAGTACATAGGTTTAGAAATGGATACAGCGGAAAGTTTGTTTGAGTGAAGATCATTAGAGGGCGGGCCCGGGGTTAGATATTAAGACGGCGGCATACTGGGCATGGTTATCAAGGGGGCTCTGGTGCGCCGGCCTGGATAGGAAGCATTGTGCATCGCATCTACAGAAGCCTGCTGTACACACTTCGTTTTCGTTCTCTTTCTCTTTCTTTCTCTTTCTCTTTCTCTTTCTCAGTTCATCCCTTGTGATATTAGATGGCTTTGCAAAAGCAGTTATCGATTTATAATCTGATTTTCGTTTAGCACCTCGCTTCTTGTATTGAAGCGGCCGCGGGATGTGGTTATCGTGCCGAATAGAGAGTACGGAAGTGGAGGGGTTGTGAATTAATTTACGAGCTGTACGTCGTATATGTGTGCGGGTTTTTTTTTTTTTTGGTGTGTACGGGTACAATAATAGGAGAGCGGGAGAGTAATAGGGGAGTGGGAGTCGGAGAGTCGGGGTCGGAGTACCGGTAAGAGGGTAGAAAGTAGAAGCGAGCTCGCTTAAAGTTAAACCAAAATAACGACCAAATTCCCCTCAAAAAAAATAAAAGACGGAATAAAAATAAAAACCTTCCAGAGGGCCGCGCAGTTGGCGAGGGATTCTGGAATACCAGACGTGATTCATAGAGGTGTTTTTTTGGGGGGGGGGGGTGAGGGGGAGATATTTAGAATCTCCCGTTTTGGTAGCTCAAAGAGCGAAAACGAAAGATTGGATCGGAGGAGGTTGATGATGTGCTAATATACTTGGTGGACTGGCTAGATGGATATTTTATGAGGTATGGGTAGGAGGGATGTTTGAGGGTTTTATATACCAAAAAAAAATATATATATATATATATATATTTATTTATTTATTGGCGGCCATCGGCTCTCGGACAGTGCATCGGACGGACTGTTGGTCGGATCTACACGGTAAGAATACGTAGCTAGCTAATTGATAGAATAGATAGATACATACCTAGGATATCAATGCTAGTGCTAATCCTAATGCCAGTGGCAAATAAATAGATAAACAAGCGAGCGACCACTTCCATGAATCAACTAATTAGCGTTTATAAAATGACGCGAACTATGGATGAGCTCTAATGTATGATGGATGAGGTTGTTCAGTTTTTTATATGAGCTTTATATATATATATACACCAAAACAAACTGGTCATAGCTAGCTAGATTGGTAACGCCTTTAGCTTAGCTGTTGTTTCTGTTGTCTTTGAGAGAGAAAGAGAGAAGTACGTGCCTGTCTGGGTTCTCATCTAGCGAATTGGTGAGATCTGGGCAACCAGAGCCGGACCTATGGATACGAAAGCTCCTGACGAGAAGCCGTACAGGATGCAGAAGATGATGGTGGGGATGTTGCCTGACGAGGGGAGCTAAAGGTTGAGGACGATGATAGCCGAGAAGGCGGTGGTGATAACCGTCACATTGAAGCGGCCAACGCGATCTGCAATTATGCCGGGGAGGATACGCCCGAAGATACTAGGTGATGTTAGCAGGAGTCATGCGAACAATTCAGACTTACTTACGACGCCGCATTGAGGATTGCAATAAGGTAGATGGATAGGCTGGCTGACATGCCATGAATTCGTGCTCTGCAGTTGGTTAGGAATGTTCCGAGGAGAGGTACAAGACAACCCACTGCAGAATGATATATTTTCCTGGCAAGAATGTCCCAAAGAAGAACAGGAACGATGCGAGGCACAGCAAGCTAAAGGCACGCTCTTTCAGCGGTCGAACGAAGCTCATCGCATCGAGTTTCCTGGGTTGCGGCATCAATCTGAACTTGACAGTGAGGTTGGCAACAACAAGCATCCCCAACATCACAAGAGCCACGGCTCTCAGAGTCCAAGGATATCCGACCTAAGGGATCAACTTGGATACTTGAAGAACCAAGTTCCCACCGAGCTTATGGCCGCGTAGAACACATCACTCGCACCTAGAGCACTACAGATGCCTTGAGCTAGGATAAACTGATAGTGCTTGGTCGATAGCGAAGTCATCATCAATCCGAAGATATAGAAGAATGTGCCGCCAAGCAGAAGCCACCTCGGACTATAGTTATCGAAGAGCTTCCCAAACACCGGCCCTCCCAAGAACATCATAAAGATTTGCAGCGACGGGATCCACGAGATGGTACTTGACGAGTAGCCCAGCAGCAGGCTCTCCTGGTAGTATTCCTGGAACACCCCGATGCAGTTGATCCATCCGAAGCTGCAGATCAGGCACAGCTATCCTCCCAGCACCACCAGACAGGCTTCTCACCCGCCGTCGGGAAAGCCAACAGGGCTCACACCACGAGGAGCCGGTGCAGACTTGGGTATGGCGCCTGCCTTCTCTAGATCTGCCGCTACTTCCTCAGCGGATTCAATGAACATGCTGGCGTCGTCTTCTTGTTTTGACTCCCGGGTCAGTCGAGTCGGTTGCGGGAGAGGCGATGGTCTGCAGCGGTCTGCTCCAAGAGCGTCTTCCTCTTCTGGTCGACGATAGTTGACGCGCCTGAAGCTAGCATATTGGCAGTCGCTGTCATATAAGCCGAGAAGCGTAGGAGTGGGAATCGAAGTAGAAGTTGAAGTCGAGGAGGGTTCGATGCCCGATTCCCGGTGGCGATGAGTTGAAACCTTCACGGTTCGGAGTTTTAGAAATTCTAGGAAATTTCTCTAGTAACATCATCATTGCCAAACACGGCAAGCACGACAACCGCACTGGCCAAGACGGCACGCGAGAGTGTCGACACAATAAGCCTGGACCGGCTGAATAAAGCCTTAGTATTCACCGCAGAACAAAAATGTAATAATATCCTCACTACGTATTCAGGTGTGTCTGGCTTGCTCGGAACGTAGTAGCACACTAACTTCTTGCGATAGGGAAGGTTAGTAGCATCTGATATCTGCACTAGCCCCCCTTATGACAGTTATCATTATCATTTCAAGATATCTGGCGGTCCCTCTACAAGTAAGATAGACCATTATCCTATATAATCCTACACCAACAGCCCCTAGACATTTGTCGCAACACCAATTGATCCAGGCTACTAATTATTATGTCAGCGGGCTTGATATCAACGTAGGGTATACAGACTCTGATAGACGCACATTAATCTTCAACATAAAATCGCAAGGCGGGCATCCACGCACTGGTAATTAGGTACTATCTATCATAATAATAGACAAGTCCGCTTAGACTCGCTCGCTTCTACCCAAGCCAAAAAATGTTGTCGGTGTTTACCTACGTCAGGCTCTCCAGAGAAATTTCTTTGGCTACAACCTTCAATTACCCTAAAAGGCGTATCGGGATGTAACAAGATAAATAAAGAAAGGTCTGCGGATAGATTAGGCTATATCATAATAGTAATCTTTCCCCCGTAGAGTGACGTGGTCCTCAACATTGACTGATCGATTGCTTGGAAGTCAATTGCTCATTTTCCCTACCCGCCATTCCCTGGCCACACTCTCACTTACTCAGAATGGGCCTATTTGTGATCTTTACGCTACTTTGAGCTTAGCTTACTTGCTCTTCTTCTTCTTCTTCTTCTTCTTCGTCCTCTTCCCTAGCAAAGCTACAGCCATTTCAGCTACTCCAGAGAACAAGCTTACTAGAACGCTAACACCAATCAATCAATCAAAGCTCAAGGACACCACCTCTCAGCCAAACCCCCAGGTCCCCCCCTTCGACCCATTCCCATCTTTCCCAGGCAATCGAGTTTGAAGATAAACAGAAGAAGAAGAAGAAAAAAAGACGATCAACCTCACTTCACTTACGCATAGCATACATAGTAATCCTCACCGATCCTGACCATGTAATCAGTGCCGACCTTAACCTCGACCTTGACCTTGACACGTACGATCCACTGCTCGAGGACGTGACTTTTTTCCCACCTTTTCCCCACCCTCCTAGCTATATCTCCGCTCACCAGACCCGACAACAACCCAGCTTGACTGACAGCCATGTAACCATCCATCCATCCATACAGCGAGGTAGGCAACCCAGGACCATTATTCTCGATAGAACCATCCAACAAGGTCCAACTATACCATCAGAAACCCCGCTGCAAGCAACTTCTATCGGTTTACCCACTCTCATTCGCGATTAGATCGGCCCCCAGGTCGTCCTCAACCGACCGACCGGCTTTTCAACCCCTTCGACCTGATGACGCCTGAGCTCCATCACTTTCTGCCACCGGGGGTCTTGCCTATCAGATCAGATCAGATCAGATCAGAGCGAGGGCCAACAACACTCACTCGCAGTATCACTTACCACTAACACTGCCAGTACGTACATCTCGAGCTATGCCGATAAGTAATCCAAGGATCGGAAAGGATTGCCGAAACTTCCCACCGTTCCTTAGTTACCTCCTTGCTTACACGCTACCTACCTACCTACCTACCTAACCCACCCCATGAAGGAAGGGTGTCCGCAAGTGATACAATCAACGCAAATCATCCAAAGAACTCCCTCCGCACCGCAAAGCCGATTGGCGAAAAGCATAGGCTTCTCACTCACCAATAATCCCCCACACGCCCGTCAAGTATCGGATTCTGGAACTCCAGACACCCAATTTCGTTCCCCGAAACCGTGCGTGCACGTTGATCTTTGGAAGGAAAGCTCTCGGAACGAAACGCATCATGGTCAAGCTTAGCAGATAAGAAAAGTATACAAAAGGTAGGACATACAGCTAGCTTCCTCGATCGAAAGAGTTTACCGTCGAACCTCTCTTCGCTGCGGCGGGTGGTGTGGCAAACAAGGCATTGAAGAGAGAGAGAGAGAGAGAAAGGGGAAAAAAAAGGGGGGACCTGCCGCCGATAACACACTGTGAATCCAGCAAGCACTTATACCTTTTGATCATGATTGGGAAGAAGCTGGAGAGAGAAAAAATCGACTAACTGAATGCATGACCTCGGTCACTTGACTGAGCAGCAAAACTTGAGAAATTTGTAAGCAACGATCCCTGATAAGCATATCGATCCAGTGTATCTGATATCCACAATTCATGAATAGACGCGGCCTCCCGCTGAGGAATCAGTTTCTCAAGGCTAAGCCTCGACAAAGTCAGTTTTTGATAAGCAGCTTTCGCTCGCCGCAGTCTCGCCGGAGCCCTAATGTTGCAAATTGAAAGGACAAAAGAAAGATCTTGCGTCGAGCAGATCGGCAGAATCATACAAAGCCGTTCTCTCTCGTTCTCTCCAGAAACATAACGACATTAAGAACCGCTCAACAGATTTCGCCTTGTGCATAGGCATAGAAATGAAAATAGCACCCAGGATCCAACACTACCACCTCTGATACGATGCCAAATCCTATGCCCTAGCAACATCTTCCTATTTTACTTCTCGTCCACACACCCGGCTCTGGCTGTTCTATCCCCTGCCGCCTTTGCGCCAATCAATCTTATCCAGCGCCACCTTGCTTATTCTCCGGTTGACCTTGGGATCCTGGGTGGCATTGGTATCGGTCGTCGAGTCGCTGGCGCGGCTGCTACCTGTGTTGTGTTTTGTGGAATATGCTGAGGTGGGAGAGTAAATGTATTCGCCGTCCACGTATTGAGCTTCAGATACGAAGGTGCTGCGGCGATTGCGCGTGCGGGTGTAGCGTTTCTCCAGACGGAATAGCTCGAATTTGGATTGGATAAGTTCGACGATTCTGTTTCCCATGATTGCGGGTGTAGTATGGGCAATCCGCCGAGGTGGATGTTGAGCGTGGGTTCTAGTCTCTTCGTTGGGATCGTTGGGATGGGTAAATAGTTGCAGATCCGTTCGTGCTCTGAGGGGTTTTCAGTCCTCCTGAATAGGTGGTGGGCTGGTTCTGGTCGTACGGGTTTTCAAGTATTGATGTGGCAGACAATTGCTTTCGAAGCCGGGCTCGAATAGTCTGTAATGATGAATAGATTCTGTCCAAGGAAGGGCTTCAAATTCGCGAATCCAGTTCCGCAAGAAATCGTGTGGTTGTTGGTTCGTTTGCTTGCTTGTTTGTTTGTTTGTTTGTTTGTTTGCTTGTTTGTTTGTTTGCAGAATCGGATGGTCGAGTCGCGTCGAGTCAGTTTGAGACAAGTCGTCTGTTGAGTGAGTGTGAGTGTAGCGAGTGGCACGAACAGGAGGTAGGAGATGCCCAAGTCAAGTTAAGTCAATTCAAATACCCCGGAACCGACCAACGCCTCACGGAGATAAGACCCCGGATTAACTCCCCTCCCGGCCGAGTCCGTACCAAGGCCGCGCCAATTTTGGCCAGATAGGTTGTAGTACTGTATTCCGTACTTAAGTACAACGTAGTACTATATGTGATAGGCGCATACCAGGGTGTTTTACTGTATTTGATAGGGCCTCGTTCGTCTGGTCGGGGTCGAGGGTCGGGGGTCGGGGGTCGAGGGTCGAGGGTCGAGGGTCGAGGTCGAAGCCCCCTTGTGTTGGGCTGTACTCCGTACCTACGGCCCTCCGGACTCGCACCTCCTCTTGCCACTTGGTGGTTGGTGAGGGGGGTTGGGGGGGGGAGTATGGGGATTCTCTCATCGCGGCTCGGCTTCATGCTGAAATGTTCGGTGTAGCAGTACAGTACCGTACAGAAGACTTCCACATGCGCGACCTCGTTCGCTGCAGTAAGCCAGAGAGCCAGAGCGGTTCATGGGAAGCGAGATCAGTCAGTCAGTCAGTCAGTGCACGTGCAACGACAGGTACGGTAGTTGGTTTCGTGATTTTCCAGAACAGAACTGACCCCGGCTTGATCTGTGTACCTGTACAGTACAGTATGTGTGTGGCTTTGCTGAACTCAAAATGTTGGGGCTCCGATGCCCAAATTCAGTCCAAAACGTACTACTACAACGTAGTAGTAAGTAAGGGGATGTTCCTTCCGCTCCAACCACTCCAACCACCCCAAATCAAGCCTTTCGACGACGGGGGTCCCGGGTCGGTCAATCTAATCCCCCCCCC